AAGCTCGAAGGAGGAGGTACACTCGTGCTGTCAGCTATGACAGCTTCTCCAACACCCAACTCTTCCAAGCCCAGCTGCTTCAACTCGAAAGTCTTCGCCGCCGCCTGAAACAAAATCGGCCATGCACTCTCTGGAATGGCGGCTTGCCACCATCCACCAACCAACTCCAGAGCCCACTGAAACAACACAGCCCCACTGAGGAGCTGATTGCGCACCGAGGAGGGGAGGCGTGAGATGAATTGAATCGCCCACGCCTCCTGGATGTAGATCTCCATCACCTTCGTGGTGATCCAGCGGCCACGCCGCCTTGTAAGCTCACTGTCTTCGCTTACCAGGAGGAGCCAGGAGGCTCCTCCTGCCCTCAAGGAGCCCAAGTCGATCTTCCAGCCGATGTCCTTAGGCAAACGGTCGAGGGAAAGCGCTTCAAGCAAACGCTGAAACCGGCAAGCCGTGCAACCTGATGACGTGCTGTCCTGAATCTCGTCTTTGGCTCCGAGATCTGTAGCATTGCAAACTTCACAGTCCAACCAACGTCTTCAGGCAAAATGAGGCTTTGCCGTGTAGCTTGTAGCACTTCCCCTATCCTGGTCAAACCACCCCAGGACAGGGCTAGGACCCCAGCAACTCGACTCCAGCCCCACATCCATGCTGTGACCAGCAGCGCCAAAAGCGCTTGCCATGGAAGAGCCAGGTGGTGGCTCGGCGGCTCCTGCCGGAGCCAACTGTAGGCAAGGCCCCATGCTGGCTGCAAGGATCTCCTAATCCGTGGACGCTTGGCCGAGACAGCATTCAATGTCTCGGAGTAGTGACCGTAAGGTCGTCCTGATCTAAAGAGCTCGCGACCATACTTTTCCAGCAAAATGTTCAGGGCCTCAACATCAGGGGCCGCGCACATGAGCAGCTCATCCAAGGCCATCAAGCCAACTAGAAAAAGCAGCCAGCAACTTATCACGGTGCTTTTGGGTCGCCGGCAGGACTGGACGTCCCTGTGGCAACTCAAGCTCACCTCTTCCTTCAGCCCGTCACGAGGCACCAGTGTCGGGCCATGGCGCACCGCATGAACACTAGCTACATCGGGGCAGCTCATCCAGACCAGAATTCCCAAAAACCTTTTAGGGGTCCAACCAGGGGGGAAGGAGAAGGAAGTGCCGGAGTGAAGCCTTCGGAAGACAGGCTGTTTGCGCTTGGCTTTCTTGAGCTGACCGTGAGGGCTCGGCCAGCAGGACAAGGAGCACAAAGTTGCAAAGAAGCAAAGTCCAATGATGAGAGGAAACCATGGAGCTGAGTGTGCACTAAAGTCCAAGTCCAGGCACAGAGGAAACCTAAATCCAGGCCATCCCCTCAACAAAGTCCGTAAAATCCAAATGGCTCCAATGACAGTGAGGCGCCAGAGCAAATGATCACCTCCTCCAACTCCAAAAGGTGGAAACCCCAAGGTTGCATCAAAGTCTGCAATGGGAGAGCATCCAGCTTGTGTATCCTTGAAAGGGTAGTGTAGTGCTTGAAGTGGACATGGGCATACCTCCATGAGTCATCATCTGACCACCATGCCGGAAAGCGGTCAAAAAGAAGAAGCGCGAGCCGGCACCAATTCGATGCCAGGCGCTTGATGCCCGATAGCTTTTGTACTTGGATGTAGTCCTCAAAGCTGGCCTCCGGAGGGGCCAAACTGCAACATTGATCAGGGAAATCATGGTCACGAGTCGGATGGTCGGCTGGCAGCCAACGAGTGGGCCCAAAATGGTAGCCCGGGTAGAGGTTCCCTGCCACAATGGTTGAGCCACATCTTCTCACAAACTTTCTCAACCCTCTTGAAGGAGATCTCCCTTTGACCAAAGCTGAGAGGCCAACATTTGAATCCATGATGACAGGAAACCGAGTGGAAGGGTGGCATATGGCCTCCTGCTTCATCAAACGTTCTGCTGCTTGGATCTCCTGGATGTTGATGTGGGAAGGCCTTTTCCATCTCCAGACCTTCTGAGTGTGCCAGTGGTTCGACAGCATAACATCGTTCACTAACACATTCTCAAGTCCTTCAACCTCAGGCTCCTTCTCGGCAAGATCGGTCAGCTTGGCATGAAGGGCACAGTGGAAAACCCTCCCAATGGCGAAGGCAAGCTCGTCAGTGTAAGTGGCAGAAGGCTTTGTCCATTTTCCCTCAATCTTGATGTGTTGATGAGAGCCATCGCACTTTCTGTGAAGGCCGGAGGCATCAAAGGCCGCAACCAAGAAAATGAACTCTTTGAGGTGGGTGCTGCCATACATGCAAGAAGCACACCACACTTCCTCACATAGGCCGTTGGCAGTCAAAAATTGCCACTCCGCTAACTTCCTCATCTTTGATCTCCGTGGTTGTTCCAGCAATCCAGGGATCCTGTAGGTGGCAGCCACCTTCATCAAGGTCAGAGCACGAAGAGCCAGTGTGGTGCCCAACAGTGTCTTTGGATCATCTGGCTCAAAGCCTCGTGGGCATGAGTAGCTGCGAGAGGGAGGGTACTGAGCGGGACTGAAAGTAGCGCACGGAGGCTCGACCATGAAAGAGTCCAACCTGCCCTCCTCGATCATGAAAAGAATCCACTCCAAAACGCGCAGCAATGCCAGATTGTATGCAGGGGATCTATCGAGGTCAATGACAGGCCCAACCACCCAACCATAGGCGGCAACTTCAGAACTGACTTTCCCAGCGCCCCTACAAATCTCGATGAAGTGGAAGCGGAAAGCACAAGGTCTCTCAGCCTCTATAGCCTCATAGGGAAGGCCATCATCTTGCCCATCAAGCTCCTCAAAGAACCAGTCAATCTTCTTCAGAACCGCTTCGTGTCTCTTGAGCATCCTGGTGTAGGAAGACTTTCTGCGACTGGTCCTGAGGAGAGCCCTTGCCACCAAACTCCTTGAAATCTTGCAAGCAACGACTGCTCCTTTTGCATCGGACGAGTCAGTAGAATAGCAAGCTTCTTGAACCTCTGCAGAGATATCGGCGCTGATGAACGGACAAAGGACAGCCAGCATCACCAGCTCCTCAGCCATAGGTCTGGGCAAAGGTTGACCTTAGGCTCATTCTGGTCAACATCAGACATAGGAACTGAATAAACTTATGAAAAAATGGCAGCCTGGGACTGTGGGCAGTAAAATTAACTATTTTTGGGATATTTTATCATTTTGGTTATAACCGATATTATCTCTGGAATTATCATATGTTTTGGTGAGCCAATTTGTTTTTCATTTTGGTTTTCATGAACATTATCATTGGAATTATCACTTTCTAAGGCTGATTCTAAGGCGTTCCACCACTAACAATCGCTGCTCTTGGTTCAGGCGCTCACACCAAGCAGTGTAGAATGTTGGGGTGAGGCCATGGAAGACGAGTGGGATCAGTTGTTCCACAACCACGGTTGCTCAGCAGCCACCTGACAAGTCCGATGCTGCTCAATCAATCCCGCCAGACACAAGTTCAGAAAAATCATTCACAGAGGCTTTAGAACGCACACTTTCTGAAGATGATGATTGGGACGAGGCTTTTCAGAAAGAGATTCAGGTGTCACAAGAAGAAGAGAACGAAGTGGAGGAAACATGTGGGTTGAGAGCAGAAAGCGAGTCAGAGTCTGAGGCGAGTAGTAGCAGCACTAGTGGGTCTTCGTTGCGTTTTTTGACAACCTGGTGGGCTCAAACCTTATTCAAGGCCGTGACAGGTCTGCAGCTTTCGTGGCCACGAAAGCGCAGCAGCCCGCTTAGGGTGATCAGCGGATGCACGGGCTGCTCTGCGGAAGCAGCTGTTCTGAAGGCGTGGGGTATGGGGGGCACGATGCATGACACCATGAGATTCCAACTATAGTAACTATAGGTCTTGGATGGTCTCAGGAAACAAGATTTATGGCCAACAGTTGCTCAATCGGAGTTCTACATTCAACATTCTAGATTCTTAGAGTCTTAGACTGTATGTTGGACATGAACAGAGTGTAAATGGTAGGTAAGTGTAGTCAGGCAGAGTTTCAATTGTCACTCTAGACTCTACACTACACTCTGGGCATCTCTGGGCTCTAGAGAAGTGTATAGTCTAGTCTAGACTCATAGCGCTGTGCCACGGGAGGCGTTGGGCGTGGACTTTACCATACTCTCTGCCTCTGAAATTAGCAAGAGCTACAGGGATTTTTGTGAAGCGAACTACCCTGGACGCATTGACCACTTTTTTGAATCCATCGAAGACCAGATCCGTACTGGCAAACCCTGTGCTACCTGCTCTGCTTCTTTGATGGGTGATGTTTTGGCATGTGATCCAGATGAGGTCTTGCGACAACGGGGTCTAGAGGTTGACATCCTCATGACTGGGTCACCATGTGACCCATTCTCTACACAAAGAAACAAACGTTTCGCGAATGGAGGGCCTACCACGCACTACTTGTTTGATGTCACCATGCAAAGGGTCATTGACTTTTATGCACGGTATGAACCACAGCGAGGAATATTTGAACAGGTATGGGGCTTTTGCATGCCATTTGAGAAAGGTGGCAAGGAAGTTCCCAAGGATAGGTCCCTCGGCTGATATTTTCATACTGGCCTCATAGGCCATAGGGTCATAGGGCCAGGGCATAGGGCTAGGGTCACTGCTAGGGTC